TTGCACACATGTGACACAGATGTGCTCTCTTTGCTAACCGTCTGATTGCAGTCATGCCTTACATCTGTTTTTTATCCCTTAAGCACTGATGAACACAGCTAATCAGAAAACAAACGATTCTTAACTCTCACACATGCTGTATCAATGCCATTCTCTCAGAGTTCAAGTCAGTAGAAAGCACTTTAATATTTTTTTTTGTATTTTAATTACATGTATGGGAGTTAATTATCAAAAGATATATCTGTGTATATAAAGATATATCTGTAGGGGAAAAAAAACACATTCTTCAGGTGAAGGAGAAGACTTCAGTGTTATTTCTTAACACTTAGGCACGATCCATTACTTTAAAAAAAATTGTCATTGAAAGACATGGGTGAACCCATTTGTTCTGTTCTATGGATAAGTGATTGGGTTTTGTGTTTTATTTGTGCTCACTAACAAGTTTTCCCACACACTAGTCCTACAGTCCTAAATAACTCAACCCAAACTCAAGTGTAGGATTATTACCTTGAAGTCAATGGTCATTATATTGGCATTAGTCTTTAAAGTATGCACATATGCTGTTCATGAAATTAATTGTGGTATACATTAAAAAAATCCCCACATTTTGTGGATCTTAGTCTATATATATTTTTTTTTTCTTTGAGTCTGATTGTGGATAAACTACTAGTGGGGACAAAAAACTAAATAAACTGCTATCTTTTTAACTTATTTGTGTTGTTTCTCAAAAAATTTAAAACTAAAAATTGTATTAATAGATTGGGATTTAAAAACTACACTTCAAACTGAATTCATACCGTTAGCTGGCACTTTCAATAAAAACTGTGGCTGTCATGTATCCATAATTTTCACTTGCAAGTGTCATATTTTAGTCCATATGATACAATTTCTACAAGGTCTTGGAAATTTTTCAAACTAACTACATATGCAAAACGGTACCGTGCATAAGTTTCGGGAGAGTCAAAAACAGTAAGTGCAAAAACTGGTAAACAGCCTCAGTTGTTTACTGAGTGGTTTCACCTCTAATTTTTGTTGTGGTTTCCAAGGTGCAAGAAAGCTGAAGGGTCATTCATCCGTTTGACATAGCTGGTTATTCCTATTCAGGCTCCTCAATAACAATGTGCGAGTATTAGAAATCAGCCGTCCGAGTAATTGGCATCTTGTTTCAGCTTTGGGTGTTGCAAAGGTGGAGGCATTCCTTGATTAAGAATGAAGTAGGATTGTAGCACTTTGTGTTTGGTCAGGAAGAAGGAAAACAAGGTTGGACTTGGTCAGCAGTGCATATATCCATATAAGTATCTACACAAATGAAAAGTGTAGCATTGAGATTTTATGTGATACAGCAACACAAAGGAGTGCATAATTGTGAAATAGAATGAAAGTAATACATTTTTTTACAAATCAAAATAATATGGTATTTAGCCCAGTTTAGTCTACATTCCAAAATTCAAAAACATTCTACATTCAAATAGATTGAAAGGGAATTTATTATGTCAGCACTCATTTGCTATCGTTTTAAGTGTGTTGTAATAGAAAAGAAGAGTAATTATTCTTTTTTTAAATTTGGTTTACAGCAGCCAAATTAATGGAACACAACAGACAAAAACACAGGTGTTCAAATGAGCAACATTTACAAAAACACAACTCTGAAATCAATGACCCTAATAGGAACATTGGCATCAGTTTTTACTTATTGCCAATGAAATTGTTTTTTGTTTTTTAAGGTCTATTATTTGCACATATGGCTGTTATGCAACCAATAATGAAAAGGACAAATCATCCACAATGATTGGCAACAATTGCATACAAACAGCAACTAATTGTTTTCTATAAGAGTGCCAGATTTTATGTATAACTTCCTTTGCACAAGCTTGGCCAGTATAGACTGGGGTTCAGTAATAGCCATACTGTCGATTTTTATAAATCTTTTATTTCTTTTACGATAGATGAAAGTCCAATACTTTGAAACTAATTGCTAATTTTAAATATCAATCAAGTTTATTTGTATAGCACATTTCAGCAGCAATGCAGTTCAAAGTGCTTTACATCATAAAAACAAAAATAAAGTGATAAAAGCATCATACAGTCAATAAATATATTGTCAGTTTGCAACAAACTGACACTCATAACACCTGCAATATGAATGTTTCATGTACGGTAAAATGTGATTTCTAGTTGTCGAGGATTAATTACTAATGTTTCCAGATCCAAAATTCATCAAGTTTATTTTTTTATATCAAATTTATGGCAAAATCTTCAAAGCTGGCAGTAGGAGATAAGGAAAATCACTACTCGATAAAAAAAATAAATCACTGCATGTTTATGGAGAAGATCCTATTTGTCACACTATAAAAGGGAAAAAAAACATCAAAGGATGTGGGTGCATTCACCAAAGGAAAGGAAAGCACAGTATGTGATGGTAACCGGCCAGCCATGATGTTTGCAGTTGTCCTTGGACTATTAAAAAACCCTAAACCTGCGCTCGCTCAGAGCGGCTCAGTTGTGCTGCAAATCTCTCTAAACTGTTAATCCGGGGGTGTCTTGTTTCACTTCCATGTCACCTGGCGTGAAAGACAAATTACTTCTCATACCGAGGGCAATGAGGCTTTGCAGACCGCATAGACACCACCAACATCTTACAATACAGATTCAACAGTCTCCTCATTTTTGTTGATCCCACAAAGCACCACATAAATCACTCGCTGGTGCTGCTGTCAGCAGAAACTAGTGGCAATATGCAAATCAATACATAGACATATCCATAAAATCCTCTCAGAATAACTGTTCTCTCGTCACTGCATAAACCACAGGAGGTCAGGAACGAATTTGCTTGTATTTTCTTTGAATTCTTTGAATTTTAAGCATTTTTTTCCCCCCCTCCCAGTAGTTATATCTCCTACATGTTGCAAGCCTGCTTTCTGTCTCCCCCACCCCCACACCCACACACACACACACAATGTACCCAGCAGCTTCAGAAGGCCATCAATGTGATGAAAATTGACAGATATACTTAGATAATCCAGATGCTTCAGAAGGTCAAACCAATTCATTTGATGTAGTCATTTTGCCCATGTTTCTGAGTACCAGTGGTGTGGATGTGATTAGAATGATGAAGTCACCAGTAAACATCCAGTCCCTTGCTGTCCATTGAATTAGTTACTGTATTTCATTTATTTTTTTTTTTTACTAAAACACCTTTTTTTTAATTTGCTACAACTTACTAGTTGCTCCAGAGTGACACTGTTCGACTGTGGAGCATGTGCTTTTTCTTCTTGAGATTTTGATGTCGACCAGTCTTACTTCAGTAAAGACTACATGCAAATGGAGACGGGGGCTTGTCATCAGTTCGTCTCACTGATGGAAAGCTTTGCCGCATCAGATCCAGTCTCTATGATGGCTCACATAACCACCGTCGTTTAATGCAGGTTGCTAATAACGAGGCTGCAGTGGTTACAAGCCAGCTGGAGACTGTGAGGTCTTCTGGGAAATCAGTGCCAGATTGGCTGGTGATGGGGGGGGGAGGAAACTTGTCCTATTACCAGTCAGGAAGGGGCCTGTGTTTTGGAGAAATTCATGACAGGGTGAAAAAAAAAACAAACGGAAGAGGCAGCTGGCTTAAAAGGATAGTTCAGAATGAGTTTATTAGCTGCAGTAATGGCTGACCTTGGTGTCTTTCATTTGGTTGAAATCCAACTAATACCAAGCAATTATCAAGACTGCTTTGTGTAGTTATAATAATTTAGCTTTCAAATGTTAAAAGACCCTTCCAGGCACATCTTACTAGATGTAAACAGCATGGCAGACAGACATGTGATGGACTTAGTATCACTTTGGCTTCACCCAGAATAGGCTGAATAACGCCACCAGAAGAAGGAAGCATTAACTGAGCGCCATAAAAAGCAAAACTCCTAAAATAAATATTGACAAAATGGTTCCAAATAATTATTTCTTTAAAGGATTTTAAGTTTCCCCATCATACTTTTTAGAGCTGCATCTTGGTGGGGAGCTCAAAGCAACCAACCTCTACTTCAGGATATGAATTTGAAGTGGAGCTTTGCAGTGGTATCAGTCTCATAAATAATTCTGCACCCAAAAGGTCAGGTAAAGTAAACAAGATATGTGTGTTTTTGACCAAATGTACAGTATCCAGTTTATTGTCAATTTATTGGGAATTTTTTTGTTATTTTTTTAAATGAAAAGTAGCTTCGTGAACCGGTAAGTGTAAATGAATTCATTACGTGGGCTCTAATAACATGAATTATGTGCTCTAAAACTGGATTTGAGTTTTAATTAGCTATAAGCTGCAATCTCAAATCCTTAAATACATATTTTAGGTTTAATCAAGTTGTATATTTGCATTTCCCTTTAAATTACTTAAATAAATTCACTCTCATTGCTATTCTAATCATATTGTGATGCACCTGATCCCCTCTAGTTCAGGGTAACAGTAAAAACTGGAGCTTTTTTGATCAGCTACAATATTTCTTTTTACGTCAGTTTGAAGATGTGATTACGGAATACTACGATTTTACAGCTTTAATGACGATAAATGCCGAGGTGAAAATGATCAGGAACGATCCTAAAAAAATAAAGTACCTCTCGAGTTTCCACTAGATGTCGCTGTTCTTCCATCCTCCCGTTAATCATTATCAACAAAAGTTACGAAATATAAATATATTAGTGCATATCCAATGCATTAACATTTCAAGCGCTTCGAAAATTTGTGAATGGTTGTGAGAGATAATCTGAATGTCAATTAGGCGGCGCAGAAAGATGAGAGTTTAGATTATGGTAAAATATTCAAAGATATTTGGTCGGGAGATCAGAAAAGCTAATTAATTAGCTTTCCATTTTTATGTCTTTGGTTAAGCTTGGCCAACGTTACACTTTCTTCACTCGGGAAAGTTCTGCATGGGGTTAAAGGCGGCTATTCTCGGCGGACTGGATCCCTTGACCTGGATCAAAGTTGCGTCGCGTCACCGCGGTGGGCGTGGCTAACCGTGAGCGATAACGCCTGTGCGCTCCCGTTACGTTGCAGTCTGAGGTGCAGCCTGACTCGAGGCGAGAGTAACGGAGCCAGAACCGTTGTCCATCTGGGTCTGGATCCGGGTGATGAGAGCCACGGAGAGCATTATTTTGACGGCGTCGTCTTTTTTTTTTTTTTTTTTTTTCACCGCATCATCAAAACCGCACTCGGTCTCTCCTTCCCAGCAGAACTGCGGCTCTCTCCAACTATGGATTGCCTAATTGAAGTTGGGCCACCTGATCCAGTTTGCGCCAGGGCATCCCCGTGATATTTAGCGAATGGAGAGAAGTCGTTATGAGCGATTGTGAAAGCGGAGGATTTCCTGCGCAGAGGCAACAATTTCATCCTGAGGACACAACATTTCCATTGTGCTTTAACGGACATCGATGCAACGGAGCTCTTTGCAACTAAGTGAAATAATTGGCGCAATGTTCTAGCAGTTACAGAGAGACTCTTTGGTTAGTGTAGGGAGTTTTGTTTGTGATAGCTTTTATTTCTCTCTTGTGCGTGCAGGCTGACTGCGCACCACTGTTTTAGCTGCTCCGCGGTCGGGATCTGGAACTCTGATTAACTGTGAAGCTTTTGAACTTTTCTCTGCAACTATTTTATTTGAAATCTGCACCTATGGCTTTGCCGGACAGTAGCATATCTGGAGAGGAGATCCCTTTCCCAGAAATAATAGAGCTCAATGTTGGCGGCCAGGTGTACATAACGCGCTACTCTACCCTCACCAGTGTGCCAGACTCTCTGCTGTGGGAGATGTTCAGTCAGAAGTCAACCAAAGGGCTGGCCAGGGACACCAAGGGGCGTTTCTTTGTGGACCGCGATGGTTTTCTGTTCCGCTACATCTTGGACTACATGCGGGACCAGCAACTGGTTCTCCCGGACCACTTCCCGGAGCGCGGGCGTCTGCAGAGGGAGGCTGAGTTTTTCAACCTGCCGGAGCTCGTCAAGCTGCTGGCACCCAAAATCAGCAAGCAGAACTCGTTGGGGGACGAGGGGTGTCCGAGCGACCCGGAGGACTCCTCACCCGGCATCGACTCAGCGCGCAGCCTGGGCTCCCTGGGGGCCGCGGCTGCCACCTGCGCCAGCCTGGTGCCCGGTGCCATGGACGGGAAGCGCTCAGGGTTCATCACCATCGGCTACCGGGGGTCGTACACTCTTGGCCGCGACAGCCACACCGATGCCAAGTTCCGCCGGGTGGCACGGATCATGGTGTGTGGGAAGACCTCCCTGGCCAAGGAGGTGTTCGGAGAGACCCTAAACGAGAGCCGTGACCCGGACCGCCCCCCAGAGCGCTACACATCCCGCTACTATCTGAAGTTCACCTTTTTGGAGCAGGCCTTTGACAAGTTGGCAGATGCAGGCTTTCACATGGTGGCCTGCAACTCCACAGGAACCTGCGCCTTTGCCCATGAACAGACGGACGACAAGATCTGGACCAGCTACACTGAATATGTGTTCTACCGTGAGTGAGATTATCGGCTTTATTCCCCTGGCCCCCTTCACCCTGTCTCCAAGAGATCACCCCCTCTCCAGCCATCCTGTCTATCTCTCTGATGACTTTGTTCCAGTAGATGTACTGTAGATGTTGTGTCCCCCTCTCTACCCCCAGCCCAATTTTTCTTTGCAGCCTCCAGCTTTTATCCTTTGAACACTACCCAGCTGCTGCTCCGACTCTTCATACCCCCACCCCGCCTCTGCAAGTCCAGTTTGAAGCTTTCCCTTTCAACCCCAAATCCAACCCGGTCATCCTCAAGTCCAGCCTTGCCCCTCTCTCCTGTCGCCCGCCCGTCTAGTTGTAGTTCCCCAAAAACTCAGCCACAGCAATCCATCACCCCTCTCTACTGAGACTGATACCTTCTATGTATTATTCTCCTTTGTATCCCACATATAAATATATACTAAATTTGCCCTGGTGAAGCACAATACTGTATTTTCCTAAAAACATAGCCAGAGTGTTTCTGCGTGGCTGTTAAACTCAGTCATAAAGGTATAAAGAAAAGGGCTGAAAGAGTTGTAGTAAGGTACTAAGCTACTCTTCCCCTGCTTACTCAAGCAGATCGGACTCTCTCCAGCTCCTCTAAACTAAATTGCCAAATAATTGGACATCTTATCAGCCTTGAGGGACACGAGCAGCCCCAACACAAGATAGAAGTGTAATCTAATTTCCTTCATTTTTTTTTTTTTTTTTTTTTTTTACTTTATTCTATTAAATGTGTCCAGTACCATGTGGTTTGAGAATGTGCCATAGTTAACCTGTGCGGTTGTTGTTTTAAAATGGATGAGGTTGAGCTACACCATTGCGGACTGGGGGATGGGGGGGGGAGAGAAATGCAGCAAACCTGTTTTGAAAAATAGAAAGCTGACTGTGTGTGGAGTTTATATTTCAGAAAGAAGCCGGTGATGTGGCAGATATACAAGCACAAAACCTGCATGGTGAAGTTTAAGCATCAAAAGATTTTCTAGTGAGAGAAAAAAAAAAGTTTTACTGATTTATTGATAGAGTGGAAAGAAATGTATGTTTTTTTTTGTTTGTTGTTTGCTTTACTTTTATGTTAAAACATTAAAAAGTTTTTTTTTCATACTACAGGTCTTGTGAAAGGCCTGCTTCTTGTTGTAGTCACCATAGCTGGCCATGTTTTGAGGGAAAAAAAAAAAAAAAAACGTTAACATTATTCTCAATAACTGAGTCAGTATTTGAAGGTTCTGTGTATTTGTTGATAGTGCTCACTAAGTGAATACCCAGCAGAGAGGGTAGGATTAGCCTGTCTGCAGGCAAAGCCAATTGTCTTCTCACGACTGAAGCAAAGGTTGCTGTAAATACAGCTGCTGTAAACGGGAACATAGTTCCTGAATTTTCACTGGGGTTCTTTTAAAATGCCTTAAACATATCTCTCAAAGCAGATTTGTACTGTCTTCAAACAACACAACCTCAGAAAATGTATTTGCTGTTTATTCAAACTCTATTTTATGAACCTTTAAACATCGGTTGGTTTTTTACAAAGAAGTCGACGGATATTTACGCTGGAAAACGAAGTTGGAAGTTGTGGACCATCAATGGTCTTCCTGTTTGAAACATACACGGAACATTTAAAGTGTTTTGGATCAAAATAAAAGTGAAAAACATGACTTTATGTGAAAACTATTTCCTACACTGTCTTACTCTTAGATTAGACAGTTAGTCTGACTTGAAGCACTTTGCATGTTCCATTCTCAGTATGTAGAAGAAAATTGACACTTTATCAACCTCAATTTCTGGTGTAATTAGCTTTCTGCTTCTTTATAAACAACCACTTACAGCAAAGGTGATGCTGGTTTAAAGGTTCAAAGTCTTCACACATAAACCGTGAAGACATTTTAAAGACAAGTTATTTTAAGGAGGAAGAAGTCCATTTTGGACTTGGCCCCTTTCAGATTAGCCTTCTACTTTTAGCCTTCTGGCCCAGTACCTCTGGAGTTATGATAAATGAAGACACCAAGAAAGCTATCTACTTCACATAAAGGTAAGATATTAACTGCTCATAAGCATTGAACAAAACCCCACTTTAGAAATCCTGAAATATCACTTTAAAGCTTGCTACTAGAGAGTTGGATCTGGCATCGGGACAGGTCTACTCTATCATGTACCTCAGACTAAAACACATTTAAAGCCAATAAAGCTTCCAGGTGATTATGTGAAATGCTGGAAGCATTGTAGATGGTTTGATCAAACGTCAAGCAGTATTCAGTCTAAGCAAGGTTGTAGTTTAATGTCTTGGTGACTAAGTGTTTCATGAAAGATTTTAACATCTCAACGTCGTGTTTCGGTGTGATGCAGTGTTTTGGACACCCTAAATCTGTTGAACCTGTTGCAGTGTGTAGGTTACATTGGGGGTTAGCTGAGGGCAAACTGATATACTAAATAAAATCCTACTCTCTTCTGGTTCATGTTCATTGAAAACAAACAAAGCTCTCAGAGTGCTGTTCAAGAGCTGAAGAAGAGCGCACCTGCATCACGATTATATGTTTTTCATTTTCATTAGAAATTATTCCTCAGTCGTAAAATGAAGGAAACAGGCTTTCACAATAAAAGGAAATATCATAGGAAATAGCCCCATTAAATGTTTAGCTCTCCTCCCCTCAGGCTCTGTTTTTCATCTTCCCATCTGCTACTCTCTTTTTTTGCACATTTTTTTTTAAATCATTTTGTTTTTCTCAGCTTGGTCTCATATTGAACACTTGACCAGAAAACAAGAGCCAAGACAGAATTGAGGACATGCATAGATAACAAGCTCTCTTAAAGCAGATTACAAAACCCTCGTTTCGTTGCCAATAATTGACCCAGTTACACCACGCAGTCCAAACTGTGAAGTCGACTAGATTCAAAGTTAAGGACCGGCGAAGCAGTGCGCCGCTCGAGGCTTCCTGCCGAGCAACAGTTTGCCCGTTTCTGCAGATTCAGAGCAGATTTTGTTTTCAGTATTTCACCCGAGCGCATTCACAGACAACAAAGCTATCGCAGGTTACGCTTGAATAACAATCAGGGCAGGCACGTTTGTGTCGGTGAAGCGCTCAAGTGTCATTTCATGAACTCTGACTCATATTTGCCTTTTTCATCGAGGCATTATCAAACGCCAGTTGCTTCAGTATTATACCTCTAAACCAATCTCAGTGTGGCCTAGATAAATGCATCGCTGATGAGCCCCCATTAAAGTTGTGAAACATAGAAGTGGCTCCCTTCTGGGATAACAGATGATTTTCTTTTTTTTTTTTTTTTTTGAATGAGGCCACATTTTGTCCTCAGAGAAGAGGACAGTATACGCTGTCAGTAGAGTCTCCCAAACAAACACAGCCACAGGCAGCATTCCTCTGGCTCTGCTCTCCGGCGTGCTATGGCAACACCGGGGTACCAGGGTCGGCCATTAGCACACGCATGGAAAGACGACTCTCATGCGTAAAATTCCAGGCACCGCTGTCTGACTTTACTCCCAAGAATGGCCTTGAGGTTCAACATTCAACAGAAGGCAAGTGGGAGTGTTGGCAGTCAGACGTTAAACAGGAGCAGCAGTGATGTACACAGGCCACACTGTGACGGGAAACTGCTTTTCTCAGCGCTGCTGCGAAACTTGGCTTATCCAGAGTGTCTCAATAAAGGCATTTTACAATGACATGTTGGCTTCGTTATTCTCTTAAAAACAACAATCAAGGGAAATTTACCTTTGATTATGTATAGGAAAATAGGAAGAAAGTGTTGCAATACCTTCGTTCTTCTAGAACCTTTTCACATTTTGACGCTAATTTCACCTGAAAGTTCCAACCTTTAGCGTGTTGTGTTGTTTTTAATGTGATAGACTGGCACAGAATAGAGCATAAGTGCAAAAGTGGTCACTTGGACTTAGTTCTGCTGGTGGATTTGCCTTTATCTCTATAACATGTTGCTCTGGATTATTTCCCGGTTGTACGGTGACCGTCCTCGTAATTTGTGGCAAACCAAAAATTGAATCATGCAAAAATTGAATGCAGCTCATCCAGAGTTACCATTGGCCTCTTGGCTGCTTCTCTGATTAATGTTCTACTTACCCTAGCATGTCAGTGTAGCTGGCTGGCCAGCTGGTTTGCAATATCCCATCTTCTATAGAAAAATAAGACATTCAAAGGTTTGGATATTGCTTTGCAAACCGACCCTTCTTTAACCTTCTCCACCTGTCTGCTGTGTTTATGATGCTGTTTGTTCACTGATGTTCTCTTACAAACTGAGGCCTTTCTTTTAGCAATTTCACCTCTGGAAAAGATGAAATTACACACAGCCGGTATGAGTGTACCACTTTGATTTCATTTAGGGGCATCAAATACATAAAGAGTTTTATTTGCAAGTTATTTTTTAAGTAAGGATGCATTATTTTTCCTTCTACTTTATGTTGGTCAGTCAAATAAATAATCAATGAAACAAACTGGGGTTTGCAGTTCTGATGTGGTATATTGAAAATGACTTCATCTGATGTGAAGACATTTCCAAATCAATGCAACACAGTGTTGTTTTACAGTGTTCTTGTTACTGTACCCATCGTTACTGTGGCCAGCGTCACTCCTTTCATATGATTCTTGACTCTTAGCCAGCTGGGTGGTTTCTCCTGTATTTGGGGGTAGGGGGGGGAGGAAGATAGAGGAGAAGAACAGGAAGGCATGCACATCCCTTGAATGAAAAGCAAGTGGAGAATGGGACAACTCTAAACCAAATACTTGAGTCGAAGCGAGAGGAATCTGGGAGAGTATTTAACTGACAAAGACTCGCGGCTCCCAGCTGATCTCGCCTTCTTAACAGCTCCAGCATTAGCTGTCCTTTTGTTTGGAGACATTCGGGATTGTACTGATAAAGTTCTCACAGGACCAATTCTGTAATGTGTGTTTTCTTTTTTTTTTTTCCTTTTCTTCCAGTTTGCCACTTCCGTCAGTACTTTGCGATTCTGTTGCCGACAACACATGGCATGCTACATGCTACAAGGCTGTGCAGGAAAGCTCATGTGTAGTAGGATTTCTAAATTTAAATGTTATTTTTTTGCTAAAGTTAAAAAATGAGTGGGATTTGTATGTTGCCCAAATAAAAGAGAACCAAATTTGAAATGAGGAAAACACAAACCCCTGTGCATTTTATAACTGAGAGGACTCATTTATTTAATAAACCTGGATGTTTTTGGTGGTTGAGATTTTCCTCAGAATTAAAGATGAAATGTCATTTCAGACACACCTGCTGTGTTTTCATTGACCATAAAATTGTACAACTTGATGTTATGAAAAGAAATACTCTTAATGGAAGTATGCCCGTTTTTAAAAAAAAAAAAAAAAAAAAAAAACTCAAATTTTTTGAATAAAAGTTGTTGTGTTGTGATTAGGCGATTTTTCGCCCATATCGAAATTGACGTATTTCACAGATCTGCTATGGAAAAACGTTTTTGCATCCCATGAGTCGCGTGATCATCGGCTGGATGTTCCTACTGGCGAAAGCCACGAAGAAGATGACAGGATGTAGTAGGAAGACGATGGTTTGTTTGAGTTTTTTTGGACAATGTGCAGCTGGCTCTCACAGCATTGGATTTTTCATAAAAAGTCATTTAAACGTGTTGAATCCATAGCTCTTCTGTAAAATCCCACTATATTCTCCTTATAACGATGCAAATGTAGTCACTTTCAAATATAAGCGGCTTGTCACTCTGAGTAAGAGACCAACGTCTCCTCTGATGGATGATAAATGAGCGCTAGCGCTACGGCTGAATTATGATTATATGCCATGTAGCTATTTACATCCATGGTTGCCATGGTTTTTTATGACTTATTGCGTGAACAAGCATATTCACGTGTGATTTTAATTTAATTTCCTATTTATTGGCTACACTGCTATTGCAAAATTGTGTTATTTCTACAGTAGTAGTGCATAGACAAAGATTTGCACAAATTTATTTTGGAAACGCAGCTATTGCTACTGATTTTTGAATAATTTGGGATTTTTTTGTGCAAAACCTTCCTTCAATGCATTGGTTCCCAAATGTTTTAACACAAGATCCACAAACTCAAAAGACAGCAAATGTTTGTAGAGTATATAAGCATTTCCACTGAATCAGTTAATCAAGGTTAACTTGAAAACACAAACAGCATCAACAGCCAATATATTATATACACAATTACTGGGCAAGTAAATATTTTGACCATATCATCATTTTTAGGCGTATTTTCTAACAACAAGCTAGATAAACTTAAATGCTTGATGCGTTTAAGCACAGTGGAGAATCTTTATCTGTACAATGAGGAAGAATGTGGCCTAAGGAGGTCAACGCTCTATCAAGGTGTACATAATTATTAGACAGCTTTTTGTCTTTAGGCAAATTGGCCAAAAAAGAGAATTTAAGTGACTGTGAAAAGTCAGAAGTCATTAAAAGTCTCCTAGAGGGATGCAGCACTATTGAAATCGCTAAGATATTGGGGTGTGATCACAGAACCATCGAATGTCTTGTGGCTAATAATCAACAGGGTGGCAGGAAACATGTTGAAGAAAAAAAAAAAGATGTAAATAAACTGCCAAAGATTTAAGAAGAATCAAATACGAAGCCACCATTAACCCATTATCTCCCAGTTCTGCCACATTTCATACCTGTAACCTCCTTGACGTTATCAACAAGTACATAATGTTCAATGGTCAGAGGCACAGCCAAGGTAAGGAAGGTTGAAACTCGACCATAAAATGAACGAGGCGCATAAACTCAAGCGTCTAGACTGTGAAAATAAATATCCCCAGACAGATTTTTCAAAGGTTTTATGGATTGAGTTTACTGCTTATAAGCAGGCGACAGATTTTCTCCTTTGAGGAACTTTAGATTATGCTGCATCATTCACACTGTGCCTACTGTCATAAAAACTTAGATGTTCATTGATAAACAAAACCTGTCTTGAGTGCAAAGCAGCATGACTGCTGCTCTGATTAGAAGAAGCTCTTATGTAGCTCTTGATTGATCATTGAACTACTACTTTATTTCTGTCTTTACAAAAATCTTTTTTTTTATTTTTTATTCCTGTGGCAATTCTCACATTGAACTCCAGCTCTTCCTCCCACTCCTACTTTTAATAATTAATTAGAAAAACTAACGCAGAGTTAAAAAAAAAAAACAAAACTGACACAACTTTGACTCATTTGACATCAAAGATGTAAGACACACAAACCTTCTCTCACTTCTCATGTAAACAGTGAAAATATCTGTCATGATAAAGTCCAACTCTCTGTTTTTATTTTTTACATCAAAAAGAGTGAACGTGACTTTGTTGCTGTGATGAAATCGCACTTTTGCCTCATCTGCGAGGGAACTGAAATGCGCCTTTTGAAGGTTCCCTTGCTGCGTTTTTTTTTTTTTTTTTTTTCATGAATGCATTCAGCACACGTGTTACAGTATCAACGCA